TCTTCTGCGAATCTGCTCGCACGACAGCTTCAGGTCCATGGCGCGGAGCCCGCCGGCGTCGCTCCAAAGTGCGGGGACGTCGCCCGGCCCCGGGCGGCGGGGACGCGAACCGGAGCGGGCGGGCGTCGGGACCGGCCCCGGCGGCGGACGGCGCCTGTGAGGCTCGAGCGCTGCTCCCAGCGCCGTCTATTATGTATCCGAGATAGATCGACTTGCCCTCGGCATGGTGAGGTCTGCCGCGGAGATTGTTATTATTTTGTATTTGAGGCTGAGCCTGGGAAGGTTAAAATGAAATGCAACAATCTTGATCCAGCCCCGATCCGAGATAATCGCCGGCGAGCAGCGATATTTAACCTTCCTCGCGCCGCGTTCGAGGCGTTCCGCGGGCCCGATGGCGCTGACGCCGGGCACGCGCAAGGTCATCAGGGAGTTGATGGAGGATAAGAAGGAGGGCATACTCAAGACGCCGGAATTCGAGGACCGGAGAAAGCGGGTCTTGGATGAGGCCGACGAGCGCCACGCGGCGAGCGCTGCGACGCCCGCGGCGCCGGCGCGGGAGCCGCCCCCGCAGCCCGCGAAGCGCGGGCGGACCGCGGGCGTGGCGAGGCGGCCGCGCGGTAGTGAAGGTCAGGCATCAGAGACCCAGAGACTAGAGACCTGGGCATCGAGCATCAGACCTGGGTTTCAGACTAAGAGAGACCTGGGATTGAAACCCAGGCCCTCGAATTACGAAAAAAAACCTAGAAGTCGCCCAGGGCGTGGTCCAGGTCGCCGGCGGTGGGCCACAGGTGGACCACAATCACCTCCATCACCTTCAGCAGCAGCAGCAGCAGCAGCAGCGTCGTCGTCGTCGTCGCCGCCGCCGCCGCCGCCGCCGCCGCCGCCGCCGCCGCCGCCGCGCGCGCGCGCGCGCGGGCATTCGAACCTACAATCAGACACAGAACGGCATAGGGAAGGCCATTTTAGCTCAGTGGGTGAAACTGTGACGGTAATATAGACGGGATCCCGAAATCGAGTGGGCGCGCGCGCAGCCCGCAGCCGCAGTGATCGACCGAATGTACTCCGCCAAAAGGATGGGGCAGCGCCGGCGCAACTCACTGGCGTGCTCCAGTGCACTTCCTTGGCCCGGGATGGGCCCCGATAGCGGTTCTGGCGGCGTCGGGGCAGCCCAGACGTCGCATGCGCACTCCTGCGGACAAACGGGTTGGGGCATCCTGTCGTCAAGCGGCAAACATATCTGTAATTTATATAGGGGGGATAATAAAAAAATGGACCTCCAAAAGACCTGGGTTTCATACTCAAAAAGACCTGGAAAAGCATCAAACCTGGGAATCAGACCAAAAGACCTGGGTTTAAAACCTGAGCATCGGACTTCACTACCGCGCGGCCGTCTGTCCGGGGCGACCGGGAAGTGAGCGCGTCGTCGAGGGGCGCGACGTCTACGACGGCCTGCACGACCGCGCGTTCCTGGGTCTTGCGGAAGCGGCAGAGCCGCGCGAGGAGCGGCGGCGCGCCGTCGACCCCGCACGCGCGGTCGACGGCCGCGCCGAGCGCCGCGAGGAGCCGCGCCTCGGCGGCGACGGGGAAGCCGCCGCCGCACTTGCGGTCGACGGCCGCGACGGCGGCCGCGTGCGCGGCGACGGCGCCCCGGTAGAGCACCCCGTCGAGCGCGAGCGAGGCCGCCGGCGCCGGAAGCGCGGCCTCGGACAACCCCCGCCCGCTCCCCCGCCGCTTCGACGCGCCCCGCCCGCTCCGCCGCCGCTTCGACGCGCCGACGGCCACCGGGAGCGCGTCGAGGAGCGACCAGC